TAGTAAGTTGTAACAAATGACAGGTTTTGATCTCTTCAGGCACTAAGATGACCTGATGCAAGATTATAAGTGATTATATTGGATTCCTGTGGGATAAGCAATCCAGAACCATGCATGACATGACTAGCATACTGTGTGTCATGTTGGCCTCATATGACCTCATCTTGACATCCTACCTACATCTTGACTATGTAATGACCAGAAAAAAATTGTAGCTGATGTTTGGGCTGCATATTGCAATCAAATTGAATGTGCAAAATATTTTGAATCACAGATTGCATGAATACAGCAAATTATCATGGTAACCTATGGAATGACCTTGACCTGACCCACTGTGGCATCTGCATGTCCATGACACAGCATCCTCATTTACCCAAAGACCATATACTTTTTGAGGAAATGAAACACTCCAATTGACCCAGCCCCTGCAAACATGTAACGGGGGTCTCCATACCTTTGCCCTGACCTTGACCTTCCATGTCAGCATGATTTCTAATTGTTGTTTCTTTAAGATGCACTCATGGACTTTTTTGGTTTGCATATATATTTGCAACTTAGGCAATTAATTCCCGAAAAAGCCTTGTGTGAGTTTTGTCTCCCGGCTTTCCAGCCCGGGGCGCCCGGCTGGGACGCCAGGCAATCAATTATTGATAAACCTTGCAGCTGATATTATGGCCTATTTGGGGAAGAAATAGTCCTGTTATAGTCCTGTTGGATGGAAAGGTGTATGATTAAACCACGGCCGTCGCCTCTTATGTGTTCTGTTGTGCATATTGCTTGCATCTTGAGAAAATGCTAACATGAAACATGAAAAAATGAAAATCAAAAAATTCTTGATATGGCTCAGTTCATATCACGCTACTTAGGTATGGCGCGATCGAAACAAAGCAGGGCTATTTCGTTTCTCCCAGCAAACTGACGAGCAGGTGTATCTCGGGACCCGAAATCGGCAGAGAATGGCCCGTTTCAATCGCCCGTTATACAACATAGCAGCATCTCGGCGCCAGCTCGGCACCGAAGGTACAAGAGCCGCACCTGTGCCATGAAGCGCAGGTTAGTACCTTCCAAGTTTTGCCTTTTCTCAGCCAATGGCAGCTGACACTAAAACGTAGTCGGTGAAAGTAACAGCGACAGTTTCTTATCGCTGAATCTGTGGTGGCGACGTAGAAACCATGTTGCCTACGTCGTCCTTCATCTCTGGCGGCAAGTAGGCGTGATTCGGCGCAGTACTTTCGGTGTCATGTAAACCACAGATGAGCACCACGTCATCAAATCGTTTACAGTTCATGCATTGGTATGTGGCGCAGCACGTCGACAGGTACTGATGCGCTTTTTCCTCACGCTGCACAGTCTCGCATCGTGATCGCAATGGGAAACCCACCCTAGGTTGCGTGGGAACTGGACAAAAGGGAAACAGCGGCATCAGAGGCCGAGCCCGAGGATTGCCTTGCCCTGCAGTTT